ATTTATAGATGGGCGGAGGCAGTAGAGTCCAAGGGGGAGGATCGGTTTTGGCATACAGCGCTTCTTTAGAAGCTCCCTTCCTATGGGCTTCCCGAGATATTGTAATATACGTAAAATCATCCCTTTAATAACTCTGACCCAGCAGTTGGTCACTTACACCAACGAACCATTTTAATCCGCATTATAATAAATTCGCTCCGCCTCCTCCAGGCCGGGATAATTTTAATTTTAATTTGTTAACACAATATAGTTTACAGTTGTGGAGATAAGTTTCTTAAAATTAAATGATTAAGTACTAAACTGTAAGCCAAAACATGTGTTTATGAAGTAAATTATAAAGAGTTACATCTGCTATAGTTATAAAACATTTAAAAAACAGTAGCTTTGCAATCAACGATCCAGCAGACTACTAGAGAGGCCTGTTACAAGCTGGAACAAAAGTATATAAGTATATAGATGAGACCAAATTATTTCAGTTATTTCAATATATCACGGATAGATCTATTGAAGACATTTGGAGTTGAACCTAGAATATCAATATTTTATTTTTTTATTTATTTATTCAAAGTGGAACAGCTAACAGCTACATTATATATATATTACATACAGATAGTACAGTAACATTAATATACGCAATAATGCAGCCCATAGTGCTGTTCACAGATTACCTCTTGAGATAGATGATTAAGACGCTAGGAGACCTGCAGCTGTACAGAACGTATTATATAAGTGTCAAAGTATGGTCAGCAATGATATTATAATGTGACTGAGGTGACAAATTATTATTTGAAAAGTGTCTTATATAAAAAACCACGAAACCTTTCCGTTGAGCATGTGAAAATATCTATATGCTCGAAGGTCTCATTATATGTGGCAACCATACGTCGAATCGGTGAACGTATACCGGTATTGGATCGACAGGCACTTACGGCAAAAAGTTTACCCGCACGCACCTGTCGTCTATGCACTGTTCTGGGGACCGCATAACATAACACATTATTTAACTCAATACAGTCAAACTTGCATCTTACTATATGGAAAAGTGTCATAGCCTCTAATTGCTTACGTCTAGATTCGAGGGTTAGAAGTTTGTATCTACTGAGTAACTGGTCATATGGTAGATAAGATTTATGACATCTATAATGCATTGCACGTAGAAACCGGCGCTGAACATTTTCAATTTTGTGTATATATTTATTATAGTAAGGATTCCAAATAGGCACAGCATACTCAAGTTGAGAGCGAACTAGGGTTTTATATAAACAAAGATATGAAGAGGTCCGTTTGAAGTCGCGAGTTGATCTCATAATAAATCCATATAATTTGTATGCTTTGTTTACAATTTGTTCAATATGTAAGTCTAAGCACAGTTTTGAATCAAACAATATACCAAGGTCTCACGTAGAATCCACTTTAGCCAAAGGAATGTTACACAGTGAGTACGAAAATTTTATAATATTCTTGTTTTTAGTAATACTGAGATATTTACACTTCGGAATACTTAACTGAAGTTTACTTTTGTAACAATAGTCTGTCAGTCTATCCAGGTCCTCTTGGAGAAGAATGCAGTCTTGTGTAGTATGGATAGATTTATAAACTTTAAGATCATCTGCATATAATAGAAATTTAGAATTGAGAAAACAGGTACTTATGTCATTGATAAACATTACAAACAACAGAGGACCGAGAATAGATCCTTGAGGTACACCGGAGGTAACCATCGTAACGTTAGAGTGGTATCCATTGATTACAACCCTTTGACAACGGTTAGTGATATAAGAAACAAACCATCGTAAAAGATTACCCCGAATGCCATTGTAAGCTATTCGATTTAGTAACATTTCGTGGTCCACCTTATCGAAAGCCTTTCGAAAGTCTGTATATACTGCATCAACCTGTACGCGATTATCAACATTTTCGAATAAAAAGCTGGAAAATAATAGTAGATTGGTGGCTGTTGATCGACGTTTAACGAAACCATGCTGTTGCTGAATAATAATATTATGCAGTATGGGATATATTTCGTTATGCACAAGTCTCTCGAAGAGCTTCGACAAGGTGGATAAAATTGATATCGGGCGATATTGATCTACACTACGTTTAGATCCGCTCTTGTGTACAGGTGTGATGTAAGCATGTTTCCATACTGTTGGCATAACACCTTCAGTAATGCATTTATTATAGATGATGGTTAGGGGTTTACATATAACAGAGGCGGTGTTTCTTAGAAAATAAGCAGATAGGCCATCAGGGCCTGGCCCCTTAGATGGATCCAGAGATTTCAGCTCTCTTAATACCTTTTCTACTTCAAAATGAAGGTCAGTAATAGTGGTATCATGGGATGCTGAATCGGCAGGTGGCCTCCACTGTGATAGTGTAGGTGAGGGCGGTTCATAAACGGAAGAGAAGAATTCAGAAAACATGTTGCATATTGTCTGTGGATCACTTGCAACATCATCATTATATTCAACCTTAGCCGGTATTCCAGGTTTGTCACGACGATTAGAAATGTATAACAGTGGTAAACAGTGGTGGTGGTTTTAACAGTGGTAGAGCCACGCGGCAACTTTTGCTGTCGCACGGATGGGCCGGCTCGAACCGGGGTGGTACCACGACCTCACAGAATACCAGCGTGAAGTAGAGGTTTACCTTTGTGTTTCGCTTGGTGAGTGCAGGTGGCCGGAGGCCCTTTTTACTGGAAATGAGGCATTCCATCTTAGTCCTCACGGGTGGCAACGCATATGCATTTTGATTCGCGGACGAGGATAGATGTAGATGTCTATGGGCCGCAGCAACCACTTACCATCAGGTGGACTGTGTGCTCGTTTGTCACCCTTATCCTATTAAAAAAAAAAAAAAAAAAAAAAAAATACCCAGAAATCCTTAATATTTTTGCGTATGCTATCCTCGACAGATCCAATATATCTAGAAAAACATTTATTACACATATCCTTAAATAACGTTCTATACTGGGAAAATATCTCATAGTCTGACATGTTGTTATATTTCTTCCATTTCACCCACGCTTTACGTTTTTTTCTAAATGTGCTAATTAAAGATTTCGAAAACCAGATCGGAAAAGCAGAAGTTCTGGAGCCAACCAACGGCGTATGTTGCTTGATAATTTCGTCAATTATTCCATAAAATACGCTAAGTGCTTCTTCAGATCCCATGGGAGTAAGTATTTCATCCCAGTTAGTGGACTGTATTTTACGGTTGATGTGCGTATAGTCGGACTTATAAAAATTATACCTCTGAAGCGTCCGCCTTTTCATTGGAACAATATCGACATAGCTCTCTATTTCACAGATAAAGGGTGGATGATATGCGTCAATAGGAAGTAGGGGACTCAACGCGGTCAATACCTTACACGAGCGGTTTGATATGCATAAATCAAGTATTTTGTTTTTAGTATTCACTACGTGGTTGTATTGCGCAGCATCTAGAAATGAGATTAAATTATATAATAGGTTATTGGTAACGGATGAGCCCACCCCACTGCCATGTAAAGCGTCTGTGGTTCCTCGTGTCCACGTTACATCTGGGAGATTATAGTCGCCCAAAATATAGAAGTATTCGACATCAGGATCACACAGTACCTCTTGTAAAGTTTCAAAATGAAGTTCGTATACGGTAGAGGGTGTTTTTGGGGGTATGTAAGCAGCACTGAAGACATGGCGCTTTGAGGTTTGCTTACTAGGAACTTCGATGATGACATGTTCGATAAGGTTATGCAATGAAAAATTTACACGAGTCAAAGACACGTTTAACTCAGATGATCTGAGTGTACGCAAAACCGCAATCAGGACACCACCCCCATCTAGTTTATTCGTGCTGATACGATCACGGTCGCACCTGTACACAATATAGCGTTGATCGATAAACTCATTGTCGCTAATTTCAGATATCAACCAAGTCTCGGTAAGTACGATGATATCATAGTTACTGTTTAAAATGTTCATATAAAGTGTGTGTAATTTTGTACGGAAACCTCTGCAATTTTGGTAGTATAAGGAAAGTTGCTTGCTAACTATTACGAGTAACTGAGAATAAACATGTACATATTAACAGAAATTGTGCGTGCAATGTCTATTTGAATAAGAGCGTTTTCGCTTACGATGTTCAAGTCTTTAAAAAAATAATAAGAATATTGTACCTTATTATAGCACAATATATCAGTCACGCAGCAAATACGCACCCGCAATTCCCCATGAAGAAATAATTCAAAATATAGCTTCAAAAAGTTAATAATAATTACAAAAACTTGCATGAAAAATAAAAAAATCAAGAAAACTTTATAATTAATATTACACCACACTGTTACAGCCCACCGGCTAAAATATTTTGTTGATACATAATATACAACATAACAACCATACTTACACCTGTTAAATTTAAGGGCTGACATATTTATGATATACTCATAAATTTTTAATTTGTTTATAATACTACAACAGACAAGTAACACAATATCGCAGTAATTAAAATGATTGAAAAACTCGTAACTTATCAAAGTATAACAACATATGGCAACATAGAGACCAAGACGATTACATAATAATAAACCTAGGAATAACATACAATTTAGTAACACAAGTATGTTTATAAATTTATAATTGAACTGAGGGTTATTTTTAATTTTGACGTAAGGCACACTTATTTTATGTTTAAACAAGTTTACTTTATATATAGTTATCAAACCAAACGATTTTATTAAAGCACTATCACAATCAATGTTAATATATAATTCATAAAATGAAAAGTTCAACAAAGTGTAACATAGTGCAATAATACCATATAACCCTACTAACGTAACATAGTATAAGGAAATTTTTATTGCAAAAGTATTAAATATTTTATTTGACGTGTTGTTTGCATTTTTGGATGAGAGAGCGATAAACATCATTAATAAAAACGTATAATACAGAATGACACCTAATGAAGAAATTAGGCGAGATATATGGTAGGGAGAGTAATGATAATAATGAAAAGTATTGTTATTACTGAATATGTTGGGTAGAACTACCACAAGGCCTATTATCACCACCTTTAGTGCGACTTTTGATCTTACGAAGGTCATCATCTGTGCGTATAGCAAAAGCAGTTTCACCATCTCGTTCGCGCACCAGAATAGTGGCATTCCGAACCCAGACGTACTTGTATTGGTGCATAGTGGCGAGATCTCTGGTTTTACGAAATAATTGTTTTTTCTTCAGTGTAAGATGCTCGTTCATATATATGGTCATTGGCAATCCGGAGAGACCTAGCTGGTCGGTCTTGAGAGTTTTCACCTTACGGAAAGCCGCAAGTACGTTGTCCCGAAGGATGCGTGATGATAGTTTTACAATAACATTTTTCGGCCATTTTGTTTGATGGTGAGCATGGGGAACTCTATGGATTGACAGGATATCTCTCTGAGAAATCGGAAAGTTAATAGCCGTACTAATTGATCCCATTATGTTCAACAAGTTTTCACTGCGAGTTTCAGGAATGTTACAGATTTCGACGTTGCATTGTCTGGCTTGTTGCTCGAGGTACTCGATTCTATTTTCCAAGGTGCTAATAGTTAGGCTAGATTGTTCGGTAGATTTACGTATTGTGTCATCCACTTTTTTTTTGAGATCATCTTGTTCCCCGGAAAGAAATTGCATAGATGCTTTTAATTCTGAAACATCATGGGATATATCAATAGTTTGATACTTTAGACGCTCATGTTCAGCACGAAGGGTGCATATCTCGTCCCTGAATCCATTTAAAGCAGATTTTAAATCATCATTAAGTTTAGTTATACTCGCCTCCATCTCATATCGCCAGTCATGTAGTGAACTCTTGATATTCTCTTTGAATACAGTTAGTGTATTGTTCATGTCGCTTCGCCATTCCTCAATGGTCTTATGAAGTTCCTTTGTGAATGTATGGAAAGTAACACCCGTCTCCAGGGCAACACAGTCAGGGACTGAAGCAGCTGGTCTAGTCAGAGTACAGGGACTGTTCGATGAGATGGGTGCTTGGCCCTCGGTTTCATATGACATATTCATGTTATCGTCCAAAGGTATTTGCGTGGATTGCACAGGCGTAAGCAAGTTGGATCGTCCACGACGGGTAATATTATTGCACGAGGGACATTTCCAGGTTGCCTTAAATTCTTCTGTCAGTGATGAATATTGTTGATGCTTAATATTTAGGCATTCAATGTGGTAGATTCCTTCACAGGCATGACAATTCAGCAGCCGCGCCCCCGACTTGCAGATTGTATTACAACCAGCGCAATTCATTTTTAAGAAGCAGTAGTTTGTAATGTTATTATTGTACACTGTAAACACAAAGAGCGCCACCTTTTGGTGGCACAGGAACTCAATCGATGTAAGTATCAAGAATTGAAATTAGTAGTACCGATGTCAGACGACAATAATTTGTCCTCAATATAAGCATAAACAGATGGATGGCGTTATTTATAATTTTGTAGAAGAGATCAACGACATTGATTCAAAATCAAAAGTAAAAAATTTTTACTACAACCGTCAATATCACACGATGAAACGTTTTTCAAAATACACTTAATGTATATAGTAATATATTCTTGCACTTTGGTTTAAAAGTTATTAACACTGAAATTTATTAATAATTAACTTGAATTAACACAACAATACTGTTATTTATAGTGTCAACAAATTATATTTAATATCGTTATTTCCTACACTTTTCGTGAATGAGAAGACGTTATAACACTTGCACATCACTATTAGGGTTTCTACTTTGCACTAATTAATATTTTAGTTTATCTAAGCTGTTTTATAATTTTTAATAAAAGAAATACACGGAGCTGATTTTAACCGTGGCAACTAGCGCCATCTTGATCAATATTTGGATGGTCCTGGGATATATCATTGTAGAGGCGACACATCCTAACCGCTGGGTTGTAATATGATGTGTTGTTACGGTACACTTGGAGTGAAAACAGTTTAGGCTTGCGGTTACGAGCCCTGTAGTGAGAGCTTATGTATCGACGCAAGTAAGGACGGAGAATCAATCGTAGAGTGTACTATTTTATGTAGATATATAAGCCCGAACCTTATGCGTCTCGTTTCTAGCGTAACCATGTTAAATTTCTGCAGCCTATCTGTGTAGGAGGCCAAATAATTTTAACCAAAAAGTGGGAAATAGGAAAACATATTATTATGGTTTTATGATCTCATTATAATTTAAGTAAATTGTAAATATTCTTTAAATAGTATTAGTTTTATATATAATACTATAATGTAAGTGTAATTGTTGGTAAATGTTGGTTGGAATTCTCTTCCACGCTAAGTTTTTTCTTTTTACTCCGGCCTTATCATCGTTTTTGGATATATTGCAGCCTACCACAGCGGGATAGTGTTACATGCCGGCACACCGCTTGTAACATTACAAGACGCAGGTTCAGCTTCATATGGAAGACTGTTCTCTTCTCTGGGCCGGGATAAACCTTTCCCAGCTTCTTTAACTTGACCGCATCCAACGAAGAGCGTCTCGAATCGTCGACGACCGAGTTCTTTCTGATCAGCTCCATTCAGTGGCACTGCGAAGAGATGTTGCATAGTTTTGCATTTTCTATTGCATTTACCATTGGGAGTGCTCAGAGGAATTGTTCGATTAATTTCAGCCGGTCAAATTTCACCAATGCACATCGTGACCTTAAAGAAACGAGTTTACTCCTTTTTAAAAGACCGGCAAGGCACCTGCAATTTCAAATGGTATGGGTGGCGGTCAACACTTATCATCAGGTGAGTACAGTATAATAAAAAATAATAATACCATGTTGTGATCTTTCTTTTTTTAATGTTTAACTTATTTGTAAGAGTTACGGCGCCTTATTCTGAGCTCTTCTTATTACTATTATCGATGGAAAAAAATATAGCTAAACAGCTCTATTAAGTTAGCAGTGAAAAATTAAGCCATTAGATGTTGTGTGATTATTTGTCATCCTTAGTTCTTTTTTTTTAAACTTTACCTGACACTAGGATTTTCTTCTGTATTGTGGAGGCAAGTTTATATACTTATAACGCACAAAGAGACACATCCAGATCCGTGCGGGATTCGAACCCTCAGCACCGTTCACTCAATGCTACGCCACAGAGACGTCAGCATGTTACTTGTATAACTTTGTATAAAAACTAAGTAATTTTTTTTTATTATAGTCACTATGCCACATAATTGCATTAAAAGCTTTTTTGCAAGAATAATATTCTCAAAATTATGTAGCGTATTTAACATTGTTTTGTAATAAACTGATCCATATCTTTATATAACAATCCATTATCAAAGCTAAAGCTTTGATAGACATCGTTGCAAGAACATGTAATTACATACACAGGCCGGATTGAAGTGCCGGCTTGAAGTTAAAGTTTAAAATTATATTCCGGACTGTTTAATTCGTATATTGTTTCAGGTTGTTTCTTATTAAAAGCTCTTGTAAGATTCTACATAACCATTATTACATCCTATAACACGGACAAGCACGGTCGTGATCCATCTGCGTCCATCGACTTCCTCATCTCTTCCGCATCTCTTACCAGGTCATCACTCCATCTATTGCGAGACCGCTCGACATTACGCTTACCGGTACGAGGCTGCCATTTTTCCTCATCGGTTGGTGGTTTTTCGAGCTATATGACCGGACCATTGCCAATTCGACTTACTGATTCGTTGGGCTATGTCGGTTACTCCGGTCTTACTACGGATGTTCTCATTACGAAGTCTATTACGCAGGCAAACTAATAAGTAAAGTACTCGCCATTGATGTTGATATCATTCTCTGCTGTACAGTAGCTTATAAATGTTTATTAAATTGTTTCTTACTAGCGACCGGCCACGATGGCTTTATTTCTATTTAAGATAATCAAAGACTATTTATTTTATCAATTTATCGTTTTAAAAAATTCTAAGTTTTCCGGATAAAAGCCTAGAATCCTCCTGGCATTGCTATCTTCTGTTTGTAAACTTTCATCACAATCTGGTAAGCCATTCCGAAGATTAGCCCTGACAGATAGACAGACGAACAGACAGAGAGTCAAAAATTTTAAAAACGGTTATTCATGTCTTAACAGCATGCAGATTAGTTATTTTAAAGTAATAGACAAATATTTCGATTTTATTTATACGTATTGATATTGATATTTATGCGAATGATATTCATTGAATAAAACTAATGTTATCGCCATAAAATCCGTAAAATTAGTTATTAGTTAGTAGTTTTTATACGTGGTAGAGCCATGCTACAGCTATATTAGTAGTATAGTTGTAGCACGAATGGGTCGGCTCGACCGGGGAAGGACCACGCTCTCACAGAATACCAGCGTAAAATAGCAGCTTAACACTGCTGTGTTTCGTATGGTAAGTGTAGAGAACCGGAGACCCTTTTTACTGGAAGAGGCATTCCATCTTAGTCCTCACGGATGACAACGCATTTGCATTTTGATTCTTTATTGAGGATAGATGTGGATGTCTATGGGTCACAGCAACCACTTACCATCAGGTGGGCTGTGTGTGTGTCGTTTGTCACCCTATTCTATAAAAAAAATAGTTAGTAGTAGTAGTTTATTCAAAACTAGCGATTCGCTCAGGCTTCTCACGGATGACTTCTGGATTTCGACAACAGCACCACCTACCGGGTCCAATTGTGAATCGTTTTGATCATCCAGGGACCCGCTCAAATACACGCAAAAAAAATTCATCAAAATCAGTCCAGCCATTTTTGAGTTTGCGCGAGACCAACGGACAGCAATTGATCTTTATATACTCGTATAGAGCTTTAGTCTCGTTCAATAAAGTATCTAAACATACAAAAGAGACTCCATACAAAAATAGAATAAGCACGTATCAAAAATGAATTATAGTACAAAATAAAATTATATAACGTAATACAGGCTTTACTGCAATATGACGTGCGACATACGAGTAGGATAAACACGAGTACAGTACTAATCCTGCTTATAAACAAGGAAATTCAAAAGGACGAATGTTTTTAAGAGTTTTTGTACAATACACAGCACAAATATGTGAAAAATATTTGTTTTAGATTTACATCCTTGATTGCTTGCTACTCGTATCAAAATGTTACTTCTCCTTCTTTATCAGCTCAGAAAAGTCAAATGCTAGACAGGAGCCTCTCCCAACAGCGTGGCGATTAAGGGAGAATTTGCAATCTTAATTCCCAGACGTCTCGCGTATTTGACGCTGCTTCTTATCGTCAGTTTGGGCATTTAAGGTAGGGCATAAACAAGGTGATTATATCGATATCTACTTAAAACAATGCGATTTGCCATTGACGCCAGTTACTATACGTACTGGACGAAATGAAGTGATGGATTCTCTATCGCTGACATCACAAGGCACTAACAAAATAGAGAAAGATCCCAGGGCCACTAGACGTCATTTATTTTCTGACGAACGAAATATGTAAGATTAAGTAGTGTTAGTATGTACTATGATCGCATGCTTACCTGTTAGCTTGGCCAGAGGACCATTTTCCAGGTATCAGGTATTAAGGTACGTAAAAACATTGCGCACCTCACGTTAATAATCAGTCATTAATACTCCTAGACACTTTCCGTCGGCAATATCGATTTGCAGACGCTTTAAAGTTCTCAAAAAAAAAATTACTCAATTTCACTTACATTCTGAAGCTCCATTATAATTTATGTTAGCCAGACAACTATTTTAAAATGTTTTACAAGAAGGCAGACCGATTCAAGAGGTCAACCATCCCCATCTTTGTGGTAGAGCCATGCTGCAGCTATATTAGTAGTATAGTTGTAGCACGAATGGGTGGGCTTGACCGGGGAAGGACCACGCTCTCACAGAATATCAGCGTAAAATAGCAGCTTAACACTGCTGTGTTTCGTATGGTGAGTGTAGAGAACCGGAGATCCTTTTTACTGGAAAAGAGGCTTTACATCTTAGTCCTCACGGCTGACAACGCATCTGCATTTTGATTCTTTATTGAGGATAGATGTGGATGTTGATGGGTCACAGCAACCACTTACCATCAGGTGGACTGTGTGCTCGTTTGTCACCCTATCCTATAAAAAATGCTACTAAATTTTGTATTTCAAGAGTAGCTGTTGCATATATAGAATACAATAGTTTCTTATTTCACTAATCCTTTGTGTTATATTTGGAATTATAAACGTCAATGAATCTTGTTATTTTTAACATCAGCCTATAAAGTGGTTACGATTTGAAGGCGGCTTACATGTGACCTAAAAAACGAGTAAAATCATAAGTTCTGATATAA